GCCCAGTAGATTTTTTTCTTTTCCTTTTTTTTTTTTTTTGGCTTTTTGGGTCACACCCAGCGTTGCTCAGGGGTTACTCCTGGCTCTGCACTCAGGAATCACACCTGGCGGTGCTCGAGGGACCATATGGGATGCCGGGGATGAACCCAGGTTGGCCACGTGGAAGGCAAAAGCTCTACCCACTGTACTATCACTCTGGCCTCAAGGAAGTTTTTTAATGGAATGAAAATTCTAATTTTGGGAATAAGTTCTGGAGGGGGCCAATCCCAATGCCTTAGACCTGGGATACATGGACGTAACCACTGTGCTGTTAGACCTGGTCCTCAAAATGAACATTTAGCATATACCAGGGTTCTCCAGAGCAACAGAATCAGTAGCACATATATGCATATACTGATATATGCATATATATGTAAGTATCTGCATATAAACAAATAATCAGAAATTGTTCTTAAGGGGCTAGACTGACAATACAGTGGAATAGGGCATTTGCCTTGTATGTGGTAACCAGGGTTTGATTCCTGGCATCCCATATAGTTCCTTGAGTGCAGAGCCAGGATTAACCCCTGAGCATTGCTGGGTGTGGCCCCAAATGAAAACAAGAACGACAAGGATAAACAAGGATATCACAGCCTTATGTAATGAACAATAATAAAAGAGAAGCTTATAATTTTTGTGGAACCTTTATCCTGGGACAGCAGTATATTTATTTTTCTCCAGTGCATGCGGAACTTTTTCAAGACTGGACCATCTACTGGGGCACGAAACAAGTTTCAATACACTAAATGTAAACAACTGAAATATCTAATTTTTTTATGATTACAATGCTATAAAACTTGAAATTAATCACAAAAAGTACCAGAAAAATTTCAAATATGTGGAGACTAAACAATATGTTTTACAGTAGCCACTAAGTAAATGAGAAAAATAAAGCAGAAATTAGGGGACCAGAGAGTTATCTTAAAGGGCTACATATATGTTTTGCTGTGGAAGGCTTATGGAAGGGTTACTTCTGGCTCTGCACTCAGGAATTACTCCTGGCAATGCTCAGGGCACCAGATGGGATGCTGGGAATTGAACTTGAATTAGCTGCATGCAAGGCAAATGCCTTACCAGTTGTGCCATCACTCTGGCCCTTGCCAGGAGTAACCCCGAGCATCACCAGAATTGCCCCTCCTCCAGCCGACCCTAAAGAAGTTTGAGTTTACTGTATAATTCGAATAGATGGGTCTGGGTTCCTCCCCAATGTCCAGCCTTTCCAGGCTTGACATTCCTGGTTCTGTCTTACAATATCTGGTCTAGAGTATAACTTCCTATGTCCTATCCTTCACCATCTACTTGTCTCCAGTATAAGATGAGCTAGTTTTGTCCCTCTGCCAGTCTCTATCCAGTGTATTCTTCCCTAATTTGAAATCCTGTTACTGGATTTCTCCTACACTGTACCCCAGAGTTTCCTTGATGTCTCAGCTTTCCTCTGTGAATTTTCCTTGATGTCTCAGTTTGCCTATGGCCATAGCCACCTGAGCATGGATGAGATCTTTATGTTCTTTATCTGTTGCTGGGCCTCTTTCAGACGATCTACTCTAGCAGTTTCTGTTATCCCAGCCTTTCTAGTCTCTGGCCATAGGTGCCATGCTCATGGGTGAGACTCCTGTGCTCAGCACCTCGTCACTCCTGTGCTCAGCACCTTGGGTGTTTGAACCTGAATCTTTTCCCTCTCTAGGTCTATGAGACTTTCCTGTATTTGGCCAACAGTCTGGGCATACAAGGTCTTCCTGATTCTGCAGTCCATCTGGGTGTAGGCGAGTATTTAAAAAGAAAGAAAAAAACTGGCCGGAAGCTTCTTTTTATTTGCTGTTATCACCCACCCCCAGCTATCCCGTTACCTATTTTGAGTGGATACCTTTTTGATGGACAAGATTTAAACTGACCTCTTAAGTTCACCTGGCACTATGCCCTTCTACTCCACTGTGTCAGTAGTACTGTGGGTAAAGTGTTTGTCTTTCATACCCATGATCTGGATTCAATCCCTGGCACTCCACATGGTCCCTGAGCCCTCCAGGAGTGAGTGATCCCTGAGCCTAGTCGATGTTGCCCCCAAATAACAATAACAAGAGAGTCTAGAATGGGGGAAGATGCTTGCCCATCACACTTTTGGTTTTTCCTTGGAGGTCTTTCAAGTGGTGCTCAGAGACCTAGGGACCATGTAGTGATTCTCAGGCCTGGTGCTGCCATAACCCTCCAGAGCCATAAACCTCCAAGCTGGTGATGCTTAAGGAAGGCCTGGTGTTCGGGGTTAGAGGATATGCACCTTAATCCCTGGACAACCTCCCTAATCCCTTCACCATTCATTTGAGAGGATAAATATCTAAGATATGAAACTTAGAAACAACAATAGAAAAACAGAAAAAAGATCTGAGTTGAGATACTGTTCCAAAGAGGACATACAGATGGGTAAAACCTGAGTACCACCAGGTGTGACCTTTCCACCCCTAAAGAAAACCCCAAAGTAACCCCTCCCCCCAAAAAAAACAAAACAAAACAAAAGAAGCTAAAGTTAGAGTCTGAGATATGGCGCAGCAGCTAGCCCTTGCTTGCAGGTTACCTGCCCAGCACATGATCCTCCAAGCCCCATGAGGAGTGATTCCTGAGCAGAGAGGGCCAGGAGTAAACTCTGAGAATAGAAAGGTGTAGCTCCCAAAACAAAAACAAACAAAAAGAAGCTAAAACTATAGCTCTTCATGATCTATCAATCCAATTTCTGAATATGAAAAATAAAAAATAGGATTGGCTAGTACACCAGGTAGGGAGCTTGCCTTGCTGATTTGTTCCCTGGATCCATATGGTTCCCAAACTACACCAGGATTGATCCTGAACATAGGAATAAGATCTCAGCATTACTGGATGTGGCCCAAAAACCAAGGGAAAAAATATTAATAACTACCTCATGTGTATCACAGTTACCTACAATATCTGAAATACATAAGAAGTTGGAGATTAGACATAGAAGTTCAGAGACATGGCTCAGAGGTCAGGGCACATGTTTTGCATGTGGAGGGCCTGGGTTCCATCCTAGTACATGGCTGATCGTCTGGGCACTGCTATTGGGAGCAGTCCCCAACACAAGCCAGGAATAGCTCCAATCAGCACTGCTAGATGTGTTCCTAAAACAAAACCCAAACAAAAAAGCTATGTGTAAGAAAGACTTTTCATATATTTCATTAGATCATTCAGGCATCATTCCTGGTGCGCCTTGGAGATCATATGTGGTGTCAGGTATGGAATCTATGTCACATGCATGCAAGGGAAGTGCCTTACTGCTGCACACTCTCTCCACCACTAACAATTTTTTTTCTCTTGTTAAGCGATCACTATTTTTCTTAAGATAATGAGAACGATCTAGATTATTATGGAGTATCTTTTACCTACTAAAGGAGAAAAATTTAATTATGGTAAACATTTTGTGTGTGTTTGTTTGGGGGAGGGCACACCTGGCAGTATTAAGGGCTTACTCCTGGCCCTGCACTCAGGGGTCAACTCCTGACAGGCAGGGGATTAAACCCAGGTTGGCTGCATGCAAGGGAATTGTTCTACCTGCTATATTATCTCTCTGGCTTCTACATTTTTCTGTTTCTAATATAACTATTTTTCTACTTATTTTCTTTTAACCATAAATTATTCTATTTCACATGGTTTATATTGAACTTTGCTTCAATTTCTCCTTAAAAAATAAGCATTATGGGGGGGGTAGAGAGAGCATTATGGGGGGTACAGTAAGCGAGATGCTTGCCTTGCATGCCCCTGACCTGGGTTCCATCCCTGACACCCCATATAGTTCCCCAAGCGTTGCTAGGAGTAATCCCGGAGTACAGGGCCAGAAGTAAGCCCTGAGCACCGCTGGAAGTGGCCCCCAAACAAACAAAAATATTACATAAATATTAAAAACACCTTTGAAATTTTTGTTCAAAGTAATAAATTGTAAGGGAAGGAGACACAGAACAGAGTTAAGTGACTGACCCTGGTTTAAATCCCCAACAGCACCTAAAGTCTCCTAATCACTGCTAGGTATCCTGGGTATTGCCAACCCCTTCCTGCTTGAAAGAGAAACAGAACGAGCTACAGTGAGAGAGAGAGCAAGTGAGAGAGAGCGAGAGTGCAAGAATGAGAGAGCGAGAAAGTGAGAGCGAGTGAGCGAAAGAGAGCGAGAGCGAGAAAGTGAGAGTGAGCAAGAGAGCGCTAGATCAAGCGAGAAAGTGACAGAGCGAGATAGAGCGAGAGCGAGAGCGCGCGCGCGCGAGAGAGAGAGAGAGAGAGAGAGAGAGAGGCAGCGAGGCACAAGCCATCTACTTTCTAGCTCGATTCAGTCTGAAGCGTGGGAACCCTAAACAGCAGCTCACAGCTGGGGGGCGCGGACAGGGCTGCAGTCCCTTGACTCGGGCACTGCTTTAGGGAGCCTGGAACCGAGCGCGGGTGTGCACTAGGCGGGGCGAGCCCCCCACCCGCTGTACCACTTGGCGGGCTCGCAGCAGCGGGCAATCTTAAGGCGCCCGCAACGTGAGAGAGCCACGTGTTAATAAACGACTACCCGGGATCTAGCAGAGCCGAAAGCTGCGGATAAGCCACTCTCACCTTCCCTCACAGAGGAAGGCCGCGCGCGGGTCCCAGCAGGCGGCAACCCAAGCGGGGTCCTCCGCAGCTCCGTGCGGCGCCTCGGCAGAGCTCTCCTTCCCCGGGAAAGGAGAAGCTTCGGCCACGGCCGGAGGCGGCCCGCCGCGCTGCTCCCCGGGCCCGAGGCCGCGGCTCCTCCCGGGAGGTCCTCCCGTGGCCGGCCCCGAGGCTGCGCTCCCGCGCGGGCCTCGCGAGCCGGGAGCGGCGCCCGGACCCCGCACGAAGGTCACCTTTCCCGACAGCCCCGCTCACGCCGGGGAAGGGCCTGTCTCTCCGGCGCCCCTGGCTACCCCTCGGCCCGTCGCCGGGCTCGCTCTCCCCTCCCGACTCACCCGGCTCCTGCGTCTAGAGCCCCGCGACCGCGCGGGGCGAGACCTCCGGCTGTCGGCCGTGCGGCGCGGACCCCGCCCCCGCCGCCCATTGGCCGTGCCGGCCCGCGGACCCGCCCCCGGCTCCCAGCCCGGCCCCGGCCCTTGTTTTCATTCCCTTGTCACACGAGGCCAGGGCCCGCCCCGGGGGCGGGGCGAGGCGGCGAGGGGAAGTGGCGGCGGCGGCGGCGAGCGAAAGGCCCGGGCGCCGCTCTGCCCTCGCCGGCCCGCCTCTCGACTGCTCCGCGCCGCCGTTGTATTGTGGGATCGCGGCGCCGCGGCGGAGTCGCTCGCCCCCGCCGGGTGCTCCTTCGCTAGCGCCTCCTGCCGTCGCGCCGCCGGGCCCGCCGCGTCCCGGCGCCCCGCTCCCTCCGGCCCGGCCCCGCGCCGCCTCCTCCTCCATCCTCTGGTTCAAAATGGCGGCGGCGGCGACAGCAGCGGCGGCGGCGGCGATGGCGGCCCCGGGCTGCCCGGGCGCGTGCCCCAACTTCGCCGTCGTCTGCTCCTTCCTGGAGCGCTACGGGCCGCTGCTCGACCTGCCCGAGCTGCCGTTCCCCGAGCTGGAGCGGGTGCTGCAGGCGCCGCCGCCCGACGCCGGCCCCGGAGAAGGTAAGCGGGGCCGAGCCCCGGCGGGAAAGCGGCCCGGCTGGCCCCGCGCGGCGCAGGCCCCGGCGCGGCGCAGGCCTCGGCCCCGGCGCGGTCCCGTGGCCCGGCCTCACCCCGGCGGGGCTCCGCGGCGGGCGGCGGCCCGGGCCGGGCGGCGTCGCGGCCGGGGCGGGGGCTTTGTGCTGGGCGCCGACCCCGTCCCCCACGGCCGCGCGCCCCTCGCGGGCGGGCCGGGCCCGGAGCTGGCGCGGGGACGCCCGCCGCGGAGCCCGCCGCCCCGCGCCTCCCCCGGGAGCGGACCCGGCCCGGCGGCCGGGGGCGAGGGGCCCGGGCCGGAGGGCGGGCGGAGGGGCGGTGCCGGGGAGGGCCGCTGGCCGCTCTATTATTGGTGCTGGGAGCCGGGTCGGCGCCCTGGGCCCCGCGCGTGCGGAGGGCGCATGCTCCCCCGCCCATTGAAACTTCCTGCTCCCGCGGCTCCCCGCGCGCCGCTCGCTGCTGCGGCTCCTCCTCCCGCCGCGCTCGCCCCTCCGCCGCCTCCCGCCGGGCCGTGCTCCTGCGGGGAGCCGGCTGGTCCCTTCCCGACGCGCCGCCTCCCTCCGAAAGGGCTTTTCGGTTGGGCTCTGACGGCGGCCTCGATCCGGAGCAGCCCTTGGCCGAGAAAGGAGCAGTCCCCCAATGGCTTTCCCTTGTTTTCTCTTTCCGTTCTGGGGTGGAGGGGCTCCGTGTTAGGCGGCCCAAGTGGACTCGGTGTGGTACCGAGAGAGACAGTTCTTTCCTTTCCGGGAAAGCAGGGTCGCTGCGTGGAGAGGAAGGTGTCTTTTTGATCGCATTTGCCCTGCTGGGAAGGACCCAAGAGAGAAGGTCCTCAGAATAACGTCTAGCGAGAGCATGGCCCCCCCGCCCCCGACTCCGAAGACTCAGACCGCTACAGCAGCGGTGCAGCAGCCCGCATCCCTCGTTACCTGCCGGGCTCCCTCTAGCTTGCAAACTCGGGCGTATGAAAGTCAGATTTCAAATAACCTTAAGTAGGTGGCTGATTCGTTGCGTTATAAAAAGCATTCCTTAATTTCTTTAAAAGTCGATCTTCCACGTGTAGTTATTGAGTGTTCGATTTGAATTTTCATTTAGTGTTTATGGACATAGTCATTGAAGTAGGCAGCCTCAGTAAGTTGATTTTAGGGTACTCTGGGAAAAGCGCTCCATCCTTCATAAGTGTGGGGATTTGGAGAAAGGTTTAGTGGAGATTGACCTGGGCTGTAGTGAAAGACAGACAGATTTTTTGATCTGACATTATTAATCTGGTTGATATACAGGCTTGTTTACCCTTCCAGGTGTTCTAAGAATTTTGACCACCACGTTTATATGAAAGAAGAAGTATCAGAATCAGTTTAATATTTTATGTTACTTTTCCTCAGAATGGAATGGTCGTCCACTAGCTAAGTTTAAAATTGAAAAATAATCTGGGCTGAGAGAAATCATTTGACTCAGTCATAATATTACTAGTATAATTGCAGCTGTTGTGACATAGGTGATGCAAAAACAATTGGTTATGGTCTATCTTGTGGTGGTACTGTGGGATATTGGGATCCAGGGCCTAATGCTTGCAGTTCAGGTGTTCTGTCACAGAGCACCCAACCAAGAATAATAGGCCGTTTTTTAATTTTGTTTTGGGGCCACACCCAGTGGTGCTCAGGGCTTACTTCTCGCTCCACACTCAGGGATCTTTGCTGGTGATGCTCAGGGTTCTGGGGATCGAACCCTGGTCAGTTACATTCAAGCAAGTGCCATACCTGCTGTAGTATCACTGGCCCTTTTTGTTCTGCCCTATTCGATATGCCAAACAAGTAACAACAAGTCTCATGATGGAGACTTTACTGGGCCCGCTCGAGCAAATCGATGAACAATGAGAGGACCGGACCGGACCTTGAAATGTTTACTCGAGATGTTGTCAGGCACACGGGTACATTTCTTTGGGGGTAGGGGACACACCTGACAGTGCTCAGGGCTTACTCCTGGCTCTGCACTCAGGGATCACTCCTGGCGTGTTCCAGGGAACATATGGGCTGACAGAAATTGAACTCAGTTGGCCCCATGTAACATACGTGTCCTACCTTCCATACTGTTGCACCTTTGGAAGTAAGTTTTGGCATGTGAGAATGGGTTTTTGAGAACATTATAAATAACGTAGAACTATCATGCTTTAAGAGAACAGGCTTTGTTAAAATCAAGGGAGTGTTGCTCTTTGTATGTTTAATTTTTTTGTTTTGTTTTGGGGTCACACCTGGCAGTACCCAGGGCTGACTCCTGGCTCTGTGCTCAGGGATCCTGGTTCTTAGAGCAAGCACCCTACCTGCTACACTATTGCTCTGGCCCCTGTAAAAGGAAGTTTTAGTAGCATTTAGAGAATCTTAGGAATGGAGAGATAGGGCCAGTGTGCTGCTTTGCATGCCAGAATCTCAGTTAATCGCCTGTACCACATGGTCTTCTGAGCATTGTTGGAGTAGCTCCTGTCACCAAGCCATGTGTAGTTCCTAACAATACTCAGTGTGATTTAAACCAAAAGAAGAAAGAAAAAAAAATCCTAGTTTAAAAAGATTATTTTAAAAATTTGATTACCTATTAATGCTTTTTAAAGTATTATTGTCTGAGTTGTCAGTTAACACTGTTTGCCTGTTGGTTATTGTGACGGTGTAGTAACAGTACGACACCCTTGCAGGGATTGTTGTTCTGTTGTTGTTCTCTAAAATGTTCTAGTTTAACACTTCATGCTCTTATAATTGTTTGTGTATACTTTTTTTTTTTGCTAGTTTTGTTTTTTGGGTCATACCCAATGTTGCTTGGGGGTTGTTCCTGGCTCTGCACTCAGGAATTACTCCTGGCAGTGCTCCGGAGGACCATATGGGATGCTGGGGATTGAACCCAGGCTGGTTGACCTTGTGCCCTACCCGCTGTACTATCACTCTGGCCCCCGTGTATACATTTTTTGTTGTTTTTTGGCCACACCAGGCTGTGCTCAGGACTGACTTCTGACTGCTTGGGGCATCACTTCTGGGGGGTTTTGGGGACTGGCTGGAGATGAGCTGGTTCCCCTGTGTGCAAGGCTCTGAGACTTCCCCACTGCACTGTCTGACCCGGTGTGTACCTGATGCTCCCTTTGCTCGCCCCGCACACTGCCCCTATGTAAAACCTGGTCTTAGAGAACACTTGCTTAATTTCATTTTTTATTTTTTTTATCGTAATTAAATTTTATTTTATGGTTTTGGGCCACTCTTGGTGATGTGCCAGAGCTACTTCTGGTGGTGCTCAGGGGACTTAGGGGGGTTCTGGGGTAGAGCCTGAGTTGGCTGAGTGCAAGGCAGACACCCTATGTGCTGCTCTCTCCAGCCCCTGCACTTGTTCAGTTTGAATGATATGATACATCATACGCATTACTGAATTTTAAGGTTACATCCATGCTGTTTGGCTATTCTGTACCAAAATTCTCTAAGATTATATTAGTTCTGCCTGGCAGACAAGAAATCAGGGTTCATCTTACTGAGCTATGGATTCTGAGTTTCTTTTTAAAAGTGAAAGCCAAGTTGGTTTATGTAAAGGATTTCCATGTAGCCGTGGTGCTAGTTATTACTGGCTATATTATATGCTAAGTGTATTTGTGTTCCCCAAGTGTACAAGCCTATCAAAAGTATGTTCCATAACTCATATTTAAGGTTGTAGGGTATGAAATGCAAAGCTTAGGAGAGCACTTTACCAAGCTGGTGTCCTCCAGACCAAAATTGTTTGTAACGATAGTCTTTTATAGGTTTTCATTTAAAGATGTTTGTGTGCTTTTAATTGACAACTTCTTGCTGCTGTATAGTAAAATATTAATATATTTTTATCATTAAACTGCTGCATGACTATCATCTTTGGATGAAGAGAAAATGTTATTAAAAAATGCCTTAAACAGTACATTTTGGGTTGGAATTCTGTAGAAAGTATTTTGGTTAAAAAAATGTTTCAAGGGGGGATATCTTGTCTGATAGAGTTCTGGGGATAGGATTGTTTTTTGGCAAATTTAGCCATAGAGATCTAACTGCTGTATGTAGAAGACACCACCTGTAGGAGCTGGAAGGTATAGGTGCTTCTCACATTATAAAGCATTGGCCTAGGCAAGTGGAACAGTTGTCTTTTTGAAGGTTTTTATTTTTTTCTCTCTTTTTTTCTGCTGGTCCTTTGGGTTTTGATTTGATATTTTAAGTTCCCTGGTTGAGTATGTTGTCTTTGTTTTTGAGATCAACTGTATGAGTTGAATAGCAAGCTACTTCCATTGTACTGTGCATTTTCCCATTAACTTGTTTGCTTTTAAATATTCACACAATGTTAAATATGAGGTGACCATATAATAGGAGTTTCTTTACTTACAAAATAACTGAAAATTATTAAATTGCTTTCCTTTCCCCCTCACCCCAAAAAAGAAATCAGGATTCAAGATGCTCATCCAGCTACCCAATGCCCTAGAGCATAAAATTATTAGTAGAGGCTGATTTTCGACCCCAATCAGTTTTGAGTCCACAGCCAAAAAATTACACAGTGCATTGCAATAGGGTCCTATTTTACTTAATTTATTTATTATTTTTGTAGGAGTACTGCTATGTATTCAGCCACTGATTAGGCTGATGAATTGGGCATGAACTCCACTTTACTTTTTTTTTTCATTTTTTATAATTTTATTTATTAAATCACTGTGAGAACAGTTACAAAGCTTTTGGGTTTAAATCTCGGTCGTACAATGAAACATTCGTACCTTCACTAGTGCCCATTCTCACCACCAAAAAACCCCAATATACCCCCATTCTGTACCCTCCCCCTACCTGTGGGGCAGATGATTTCCACATTACTCTCTCTCTACTTTGATTACATTCAATATTTTGACATCAGACCCACCATTACTATTTGGGATTTTACCCCAACACTCAGATCTGCCGAAAAGGCAACAGTAAACAATTTGTTTTTTATTGTTGGTT